CTTTTCATTCCAGACACCTTTGCAGTTACAGGATTTTTCAAAGGAACTGAGAACGATTATGCTCTTAGTACATTTTTTCCTCACAGTTTATCATAACATCCAATTTTGTTTTTAATATAACTCAGTATAATTTGCAAGTCTTGGGATCTTTAAACACCTATGACAGCTGGTTTAGGAAAAATTTCATTGAAACACTGTGCGTGCTTACATAATTCCTAATTTTTTTTATATTCTTCTCGCGCTTAAAAATTCGCTGAGACTGGTCAAACGACTTCTTGATGAAAACGTAGAAAACCATTTCAGACTTTGACCAACGATGTTTATGTCGGATAAAATTTCCACTGATTGAAAAGAAATCTCGATTACATTAACTGAACAGATATTTGACATTTAGAAAAGGAAAGAAAATCTATGTTTGACTTTCAAAACAACTCTTAAAAAATGTATTTAAATGAAAATGTCATTAATCGCATTTCACTAAAATAAATTTCGTGGGTGAGAATTCGTAAACAGCAGATTTCTCTAGCGCATCCAATTACCATCACAATTGTTTGAGACATCATTCATTAGTTACACAAGGAAAACCGAATCAAACTTTTTGACGGTATTCAAAGAGAAATATTCAGAAAAAGCAATTATGTGTTATTCAAGTTCTAAGCTAATATGCTCATTCTAAAGAACTTACGTCGCATTGGTCCCACGAAATATTGTAACATCTGCATGCGTGGGCTCAAATTACCAAAAAATTACACATTCAACTCAAAAAAAAGGTGAAAACACAGTATATCTATCATTTTCAGTAATTTTTTGTCCTTTTGTTAGTTATTAGCATGTCTCTGTAGATATAATTCTGAGGAAATAAAAGATGGCCTTTTAAAAATCCGTACACCGTAATATGCGCAAAAAAGTAAATAGCTGGTTCTTTTTATCAGTGTAGAAACATTACGAAGCGATATTAAATATATTTAACCTCAGCTGGTTTCCCGGAACATTATATTAAGTGAAACATATATTGGAAACTTACCATTTCAGTTAAGTGAAAACCAGTTGCGAGTACGAGAGACTGAAAATTACCTGCTAATTTCAATAAGGCACATTAAAAGTTGCCGCCATGTATATTCATTCGATCGTTGCCATTGCAGCGGGTGAAAAAGATTAAACATCTTTTATCCTCTCTCAATAAGTTCCCCTACACCCCCCCCCAAAAGAAAAAGCATAAAAACGGGCAAAATAATAATGTCATGTAAAGACACCCTTGTGCTAATTATCGTTTCAAACGGCAAAATGGTATTTGAGAGCATACATCAGTTTCCCTGTAAGATATTGGACGTTTGGCAACCAAAAGAACGGCTGACTGTACACAATAGAGTGTTCATTGAAGCTGGAAGGGAGTTCGGAAACAAAATAATGACTAAAATCCCCTCCCCCAGCACCAGTGAGAGGCCTTGTAAAATGTGTACTACAATCGTGTTTGGAGGTGGGGGAGGGTAATCTAGCGTCTAGGTTGGATAAAGATTGACGCAATTTATTTTGATGAATAATCAGTCACTCAAAGCAAAGCAAAATTCTCTTTTTCGTGTTGATCAGAAACTGACTTACATGAACTGTTACAATAAGCTTGAGGTCCTTTAGATAAGGCCTTATGTGCTTGGCGTTGTGTTTTAGTATCGTCATTAGACCCTTACAGTATGTAACTCCTAAAATGCTGCCGTGTAATTGAAGTGAAGAAAGTTGTGCTCTAACTGGAGCCGGAATCTTTTAGAGACCTATTCTCCTGATAAGCAACAATTGGGGGATTATGGTATATTTGCGCCAGGTTATTGCATTCATTTCAGCGAATATGGCAATATCGTCAATGGTGGTCATGGGGTTCCTAACTGAGGATTAGCAAAAAGCATGACGAGAAGAGGCGATCTGAAAGATCTGCCGACGAGTTTTACTTAAACGGTTTGATTGATGTACTGGCCATAACAAAGTACCACAACAGACATGTAACGTGTGGAAATTGCGAGCAGGAATTTTCCAAAAGTTCTCGAGTTTTTTGTTTTCAGTGTTGTTTGTTTTACTGCGCCAAGTGCGAAAATGCACACAACATCATGCAAAGTAATAAGGATCACTGTGTCATGGTGCTAAAAGAGTTTTAAGACAAGGACTTTGGGCATGTGTTAAAACGGCCTGTATTTTGTCCTGAGTCTTGGCTCAAGAACGAGGAGCTGAAATATTAGCGCCCGCGAGAAACAGGCTCTAATGGACAAAATTTTATAGGACATTAGTTATAATCCTGTTCATAGATGATAAATATTTTGGCCAAAGCCAAGCAAGCAAATGTAGTTTTCTTCAATTCTGAGAAATGAACTCAGGCGTCACATTTTAAATTGCAAGATTGGCTTTTTTCCCTACCACGTTTTCTGCGTCTCTCAATGCAACGTCAAGTTTTCTCTAACTGTACACCTGGATTTTAAACTTGTCTGGCTGAAAGGGATACATCTGAATCGAAGGAGAATTTCAAAACTCAGAAAACTTTGCCAAGGAATTTCCCAAGTTTTATTGACAATAACTATTTACACGCTCGAAGAAATTTTTCTTTTGATGGAAGGGATAATTTTTTATTAAAACCAAAGTAACTGAAAAACAGCTCGACGGAAAACCAAATAAATAACAGTGAAGGCTGCAAATTGGAATAATTAAGGAAAATTACAAGAAGATTTGATTTCTTAAAGCGTTCAACATATAAACTGCATCTACAATATCAATTTATTTCAGCTGACATGTGATAGAATAGGCTATTTTTTTCTGCAAGGGAGTGTTTTCTTGATAGGAATACATGTGAAAATAATGAACAACAACTAAAACGGAGAATAACGAATCAGAATCTATATGGCTACAGTGTATCTAAATAGAATTTCGCAAATTATGCTACTTAATCTTCAAAAAAGGCAAGTTTCATACACAGGAAATGGGGTAGAAACAACTGCGATACACATCTCAGAAGATTATATTAAGCAACTGTTATACCGTAGATGAATTAATGGAGAGTTATGATCAGTTACGGGAGCCCCTGCTTTCATACAAAATTAAATACAAAGTGTTAGGATCCGAATTCTAGGAAGAAAACACCGCAATTTTTCCTTGTTCAGTTGTGATCTGCTGCCCTGATGGAAATAAAGCAGTATACGACGCAATAGCACAGACCAGAGGCACTACCAAAGAAGGAGAATTGTAAAAAGATTATTTTCGAAACCACAATCCTCTTATTTTCCTCCTGTCCTTCTTAGCTTTAATACCAGAATTTCACCGCACCACACCCCACCTCCCACCTCTTCGTTCTCGTCACCCCAACCCCTCCCCCTGCCAACCCACTGGATTATTCTCGTATTTGATCATTCGATTGCGCAATCCTCTTAAACAAGTGCTCCCCGGAACAAGATAGTGGACGGTCGTAGAAGAACTTAAACGTTCATGTGTCAAATGAATGGAGATTTTGGTTCATACTTATTAAGTTTCTGGGTCTTCAAAGTCTTCCATCTCTTTATGTTTACTCTGCGCGCTCTTCAGCTCCGAGTACACGACAGGGATTTTGTCACTACTATTAATGCAATTTCTCATTGAAATATGACAATGTTTCGGTAAGACAGTTAATGTGCAATACTGAATATAGGGGTTAATCATCTCTCGTAATCAAGCGCCAGAGAAAAAGGATCTGATTTTCAACGGAAATGGATCGACATCATCAGGAAATACGTTTCGTTCACCGCATTCAAAGAGATCCACAGCCGCTTGGTTTTAAAAAAAAGCCGTCATATCATTATGTGGCTGATTTTGTGGGCGCCCAAGATGAAACAAATTTTGTGTCCTGTAGGCAAGATGGGCTGATTTGTCCTGTTTTACCATAATAAATTGCTTTTAGTTGACGTGCACCAATTTCGCACTCCCCTTCTCTTTATGGTGGTGCAGAAATGGATGCGCAAAATACAATTTACCTGCACAGCTGTAAAGACAAAATAAACGAAACCGAAAATGAATTATCTGAATGCATTTTCAGTTCTTTCTTGTAATCATTTATCATATCATAAATCCGTTCATTGGTTAAGCTTTTCTGCTCAAAATCACTGGATATGAAAGTATATATAAAGAAAACAAAGCTATTGACCATTTCACTCAGTAATTTTATTGTAACCCTACTCATAAGCTATATCTTACTGACTGTCGCCTAAGAATCCTTAATTCATACACGTCTTTCTTCATTGACGAATGTGACTGGTGAAAAGCTACTTCAACATTTTCTAATCTCCTTTATCTTCGGCTAGATAAGTTTTGATCATCCACATTGAGTATATCGTTTATAAAGATTCACTCAGACAAATGGATGTCAAATTACTGTCACAGGAATTTTCACTAGCTCCTAAATTAGCATCTTTAATTCGTAAACCTTCTACAGGCCAGATGTTGCTTTAAAGCAGAAAAAAAGGTTCATTTTGAATCCGAAAAAATTGTTTTGTAT